AAACCCTTTCGGCCGAAAGCCGAAAGGGCCTTTTTAACCATTTTCGGCGGATAATTTTCGGTGGCCGAATATTCGGTGCATCCCTGGAACAAACAGATGTAAAGTTACATGCATGGCTTACAGACTTCTTTACATGCAAACTACTTTTTATCTTCTTTTAAAAACAGGTCATAATCTTATTGTTATACTTAAGAAATTGCTGGATATCACAGTCCTTATACTGTATCAGTTTGATTGAGTATTATTGTGTAGGTCCTTTTTATTTTACTGTTACTTTGGATGAGGTTTTCATGAGTCAGTCAAATTAATTTGTTTTCATATGCCATATCACACACGTAAGGGTAAGACACAAACCTATTGAACAAATGCAATGCAATGGATAAGCTTAATTTCCACTGAAGTCACAGATAACGTCATATTTAATATTTAAACAAATCATTTCCTTGTCACTAAAGCATTGACTACGCTATTCATCGTCCTTAAATGCAGGCATTAAGTTACATGTTCCGTTCTACAGCCACGATAAGGCTGTTTCTCAAGTGTGAGGATAATACAATTAAAAGAGGCATTGGTAATAATATTAAAAACAACAATGTTTGGGTCGGATAGGCGGTTAGCTGCAATAAATAACTCGAGTTCAACAAACCATATTACAATATCTAAGGGAGCGTTATTTCTGGACCATCTTGAAATGTGACGTTCATATTTTAAAGATACACACATTTCATTGTGAGGTTGATTTAATATACACTAAGCCTCTCTTCAACAATACGTTGACGTTAGCTAGTCTATTTTATGCTATAGTAGAGCATAGCGAATATAAATGAACCTTAACAATGCATACAGTAACCTAACTAGCAAACTAACTATCCAACGTACAAGGATGACCTTATTTTAGCAACCTCGCACAGAAGCCTTTTGGTATACAGTAGCATCCCACTTAATGTTTTATACTTCTCTATTACGTTTAACTTGGATGCTACGCATAGCATCGTTAGCACAGATGGAGCTACTGATTGCTCAAATGCTAACCCAACTCTAAACATTCATTAACGTTAGCTTAATAAAAACACCAGTAACATAACATAAAGTACGCAGGGTTGACTTACCGAAGAAACTGCATTCATGGACGGTCTGTTTCAACCGCAGATAAATCCTATATTTGCATGACGAATAGTCCACCAGGAACCAACACAACAAACACGGCCGAGTTCAAGTAGTGTTCTCCTCATGAGCTGAGCCGCTGTAGCATCACGGAGCTAACGGAGCTAGCAGAGAGGAGCTAGGAGCAGCAATCCCGTTGTCATGAAGGGGGAATCTAACTATATACAGAATATGTTTTTGTGGATCCAGGCTAGAAACATGTTACTTTTCTGATGTTAAATTGGACATTTTAACATAGGGTCTACGGGAATTGCTCCCATCTGCATCCATCGCCTACAGTTTGCAGCATTGGGCTTCACCGCACTGTCCCGGGGTTTGCCGCTTGGCTCTGATAGGCCAGAAGTCGGTTTGATTGCATTCGGACTCGATTGCTTATCTTGTCTGAGTAGCCCGGATGATGCTGCATCGCAATTTTTGACCTCGAATTTTATTCACCGAATTTTTTGACATCGAATTTTAAACACCGAAATATTTGACGTCGAATTTTTTTCACTTGAATTTTTGGGATCTGAATTTGAACATTCGAATTTTTTTAACTTGAATTTTTACATTTTTATTTCACTTAGGTAAATTCGGAGCAAAAAAAAATCAGATACATGATTTTCAAAGTAATTATTTTCAATGCTATAAATTCGGTGTCTGATCAAATTCAAATACTTCTGTCTCTTGTTTGCTGCCACAGTTAGAGCCAATATAATCCAAGGAAAATCCTCCCGCACACACTCATGTTAAAAAAAAAAAGATGGCGTATTGGTGCAAGCAGTTTTGCTCCAGAGTGAAGCTGTCTCTAGGTCTGACATCTTAAAACCGAAAAGCAGATTTATTTCTCATGGATTATCAGAAATCATTCAAAGTGACACAGACACATTGGATTAACCTATGGATTAACTTCAGCATCGTTTGTATCGTTGTAATGCCATTGAAGACCACTTTTGACCAGACTACCACACAGGTGAGCCATTTTGCCGTTTTTGGCTAACTAGCTCCATATGTTTAGATGTGTGTTCTTGTTATTATCTCCGAGAGTTCGTATGATTGAGTGATAATGAGGATAACCATCGATTCTGTGTCCCCTCACGATGTGAAACGATGGGTTGAGATGTGCAGCAAAGATAAATAATAAGGTTTTGTGAGTGAATTTCGGTGCAGTCATCTGTTAGCATGTTTCGCTCGTTGCTAATTCAGAGGCTCAGCATTAGCAAACCACCGGTTTTTAAAAAAAAATAAAAATTTTAAATGATCAGTTAGATGAGTTTCTTTCCGTTACATGGATATAAAACATTCATAGTTTATTAAATGAACATGCCCTCAGACACTGTTTTCTGCAAGATATTGCAGGAGGCCCCCGGAACCGGGGTCTCTCGGGTTTAACAGGTTTTCATCTATGTGTTATATGGTAATAAATACAATTAAGAAAACGTTATTTATTGAACACATTGCGAAACAAAGCTGATAAGACAGAACTAGACTCAGACATAATACTAATTATTGTAGAAACATTTGCACTGCTGCTGCAAAATGGAAACTTTGTTGATTACCTGGCCACTGGATTCAGATAATTAATAAGTTGAAGTTCAATTACAGTTTAAATATAGTTTAACATTCTTTATTAAAATGCATCAAATTGTTGCTCTGCAAAGCATGGTGGGGTTAGTGCCCTGCTGAACTTGATTTTGGGCGTATTGCTCGAAAAGCTTAATTGCATCCTCCCTGAGCCCATCTGAGAGTGCCATGCCCCATGTGTCCTTTACTGCTTCCATCATGAACCTCAAGACATCTCCTGCATGCTCCCAGCTTCCTCACTGCACTCTTTTTCTCCGTTAGCTCCAGCGCTCTAAACTTTCTGCAGAAGTAGAGCTTTCTCCTGTGTTTCTCGTCTCCACAGATTACACACCCTGCCTGGTCGTCTGTCATTTTGGTAGACTTGGTCCTGGCATGCCTTGGATCAGCCTTAGCCTCCTTTCGGTGTGGTTTCTCGTCCCTCACTTGCTCGAGCTGCTCATATATGCTCTCTTGCTCTTTAAGGAAAGTTAGGAGACAGTCAAACCGATTTTGCGTCGAACCAGAACGTTTTCTTTCAGTGGCATAGACAAGCCACTCCTTCTTGAGGGTATCTGGGAGTTTACTCTCAATGGATTTGGTTACTAGTGGATTTTTTATAGCACCTGTGTCCCCAAGGTCACTCAAATCTTGAAGAGCTTTTTCAACAGTTTGGATCAATTCCACAATTTTACGTGGCTGATATCCTCTGACAGCTGGCATCTTCTGTAACTCATCCACTATTTCGATGGCGATGGATGTGTGATTTCCATAGCGGTTCTCTAGGACACGGAATATATCATCTGCAGTGTTGTGGCAGTGAGGCGAAGATCTCTTGTCATTTTGTCTTCGAGACTATCCAGCAGTTGGACCTTCTTCATCTCCTTTGATCCTGTTGGCTCACCTTGCTTCTGAAGTGCCTCCCAGTCCATCCTCCATCTGTGGAATTCGCATTTGTTGCCACTGAACTTGGGAAGTGCTGTTGGCTTTAACTTAATGGATGCCACAGGATATCTGGCTGAAGCAGGCGTCCATACTCCTTCAGTGTCCTCCTTCATTTGTACCTGAATGAAGTCTGCCTTTCTGGAGACACATTTTGGGAAATGAAGTTCAAACCCCCGTAGGTGACTTTGCAGGTCCTTCTGCATTTCTGGAGGGATCCACTGCCTCCACCGACTGTGCACTTCTTTTGCAATCCTAATATTATAGAAATGCTTGCCGTCTACACGCTTCAGTCTACCCGGCTCGCACGCACCAACTATTTAACTCCTTCTTCAGGATGCAGCACTGGGCTCTGTGATTAGGGTGATTACACCCAGCTTGTTAGAGGAGGCAGGACCGCCTGCGATCATTACACACTCGTTTTCTATCCCTATTAATGGGTAATTTGTATTTAAATTAAACATATTTGCAACGCTAATGATGTAATTTATTAAAATTAAGCTATTTTGTTATTGATATGTATTTATATATATATTTTTCGACTACTTGTAATCTGTTTTTTATTTTATATTTATTAAAGCCTTAGGCTCTGTTTGACTTTACACGCACTGTTTACCCAGCTGGTATGGCAATGTCACCCCCCCCCCCCTCTTGCAAATGACGGCCTAGGCCCCTTGTCATGTCTGCCGATATCTGTTTTTTTATGTCTGTTCTTTTTTATCTGTGTCTATGTTTTATCTTTTTAAATGCCTTGTGATGTGCTGCAACCCATTGTCCCCTCTGGGACAAATAAACAAATACTCTACTAAAGGTGTGTACAGGCAGGGGCGGCGGGTACTGTAGGCTAGGGAAGGCTAAGCCTTCCCAAATATTTGTGTCACTGCATCATGGTAAAATACAAATATAATGTATAATGTCTGCGTCTTTGACATTAGCGCTGCTATGCAGCCACCTGTGCCCTGTACTACGAAGCAGTGACGTGCGGTGAGGTTCATGGCTGGTGAGGCACTGACTCTTTCAGAGTCAGATTTACAAATATTATATTTTGACCTTAATCGAAATATTTGGTTATTTTCAAAAGCTTTTTTAGTCTGATGCTTCGATTCATTTTAAACAGACCGTTCAACAAAAGGATACCCAACATCTAAATATTGGATTGTTCTTTCTTAGTAAGATTATTGTTATTGCAGTCGTTAGAAAAGCCTTTTAAAAAGAGTTGCAACCTGGACTTGATCCGAAGATAGAAAGAAATAGAAAAAAAACAGAAAAAAAACCTCACAGTCACAACAAAGGAATGAGAGGGAGTTACTTATCAGAGGGAAGGTGGAGTCGCCTGTCATTCCTTCACCTGCAGCTCCAGCTGTCACACCATGGACTTCATGCAGCAGAGCACACCAAAAATCAATGGTGAGTTTAATCTCCAAACCATGCTAAACTTTAAGATCTGCAGAAGAGAAAGCTGTGTTAATGCTTTTCAGTTTCTTTAAAATCAAATTATTTTTTTTTGTTGCAATTTTTGTGCTAGATTACTAAATGGTCAAATAATTCCTGCTTGGTAAGACACTTTCTAACGTGATTAAATCCATCCCACATTGGATGAATAACATCAGTTACCTCCACATAAATCCGATTTATATGTGAGTAACAACATGATAGCATTTTTATCATGTTGTTCTACTGAAGACAGAGCCAAGAGGAGTTGCAAAAGTCAAGTTTTTCGCTCACCACTTGAATTACATTATGCTGAGAATTCATACTAGACTTTTCCCAATGATGGCCAAAATACAACTTCCTAATTCGTCTTTAATAATTATTATTTAGTCTAGTATTTTTCCCGAACTATATGATGACTGGTTTCCTTCAACGTTAACACAACTTCCATCTTTCCCGCTTCTTTTATTTCGGTTCTCTGAGTGATAGCAGATCTTTAATGTGTTTTTTATAATAAGTCACCTTTCTTTACCCAGGCTTTAACAATAGCCATTGCCAACTGAAGATTGTCAACTATGAGGCTGAGGAAAACAGCATTTCTCATGAGACACACGGCCTCAGCAAAAAACACCTGGTGGTGCGACGAGGGAAACCTTTCAAACTGACTCTGTGGTTCCACTGGCGGCTGTGGAATCCACACACAGAGTACCCGGTCCTCGAGGTCTTTCTGGGTAAAAAAAGATGGGATAAATTCTTCTAACATTAAGCATTAAACCAAGACTGTAGCATTTATGAAGGAAATAATTGTCCAATCCTTACATATGATAAATTACATCCAAAAGAAATAAAAAGCACACTTGTTTGATCCAATGCACTCAGGGGAGTTGTTACTATAGTTTTACTTGGTCTTGTATGACCAGTAGTTTAGCTGCAAATCTTAGCTAATGTTAGCAAAGTTCACAAAGTTATCACTTAGTCAATTTACTGACTTTTAGTTGTTTTACTAATTTAAAAATATTTGGAAATACTGTTATTTACTCTTGAGTTAGGTGAGGAAAAAACATTATAATGATAATGCTCTGTTTGCTAAGCTAAAATTAGCCACCATTAGCTACTGGTTGTACAAAAACAAATAGATGTTGTAGCAAAACCCCTTCTAGTACTGAATGGAGAAATTTTCATATTGCTTATAAGTTAAACGTTTTTTTCTTAAGGGGAAAGTATGTTATTTCTTTATTCATAATCTCACTTTAGGTAACTAGTATAATTATTTGTTTCACCTTGCAGGAAATCATTCAGACAGGATCATAGTCCAGATCTCTGACGAGCAACACGACCCCCAAGGCTGGTCAGCCAAAATCTACCCAGGCGACATTCAATCGAAGTCAGTCACCATCCACATCTGCTCCCCTGTTAATTCCCCAGTGGCTCAGTATTACCTCTTCCTCCACATTGAGACGATGCATAGGAGCAGAAGTACCTTTGAAGTAGGAACATTTGTGCTACTCTGCAACCCTTGGCTGAAAGGTGGGACCATTTAGTAATATTACTTCCTTTTATTGTCTAAATGTGTTGCTGTTACCTTGTTTTAGAGGTGAACCCGTTCCACTGCTATTGCCTTTCAGAGGATCCAGTGTACATGCCACTGAAGGCCCAAAGAGAAGAGTATATCAAGAATGATTGCGGCATTTTGTTCACGGGCACCCCTCAAAACATTAATGAAAGACCCTGGATGTTTGGTCAGGTAGGTGATGCTCAGCTTTCATGAACGGGTCACAGCATTATGTGATGGTAAGAATACAGTACAGGAATTGTATGTTTCCTTGTGTGAACATAAAGTATGAGCCTGGAGTCCTGGAGGCGTGTATGAAGCTGCTGCAGGTCAGCCGGTGGCACTTCAACAACAAAGAAAAAGACTACATTCGACGAGCAGACCCCGTCTACCTCAGCCGGGTGATTTGTGCTATGGTGAGCGGCAACATTCACATTTACTCTTTGTGATGGATATGTAAAACATGCACATGTAATCCCTCTAATGTGAAATGTTTTTAATTATATTATCAATAATATACAGAAGCCTCGTGAGGCAAATAAGTCTGATCGAAATTGTTTTTCTATAACTTGTTTATAACTTAAGAACAGGTTAAAGATTGTGCCAGTTCCATTTTAGGCACTTTTAAATAAGTCTTTAGGATAACATTTTTGGTGTAATTATTTCGGCCAACAAGGCAAAAGTGCTACTAAATAGGAAGTGAACATATTTTCAGGACAATTCCTCCATGCACTCTAAACACAGGTACATATTGTTTGGTAGAAAGTTATGTGAGATAAATGTCATGACCAACTTTTAAATTGTGTATTGTTTATTTGCATTGGTCCTATTTTGAACATGGGGTAGTCGTGCACTTCAGCCTTTTTAGGTTGAAATGAGTCTAAAAAATATCACTTAGAAGAATTGCTCTGGCAAATGTATTTTAAGCCTGTTATTAAGACTTAAACACACACATTTAATCTAGAAAATGGATCACCATTTTTTCTGACACAGTTATACAAAAAATGTAATGTGTCTCTACTGTCTTAAGGTTAACTGCGACGACGACCTGGGTATTTTAATGGGAAATTGGTCAGGCGACTACAAAGATGGTGTCAGTCCCGCAGAGTGGAGCAGCAGCGCTGACATCCTCCACCAATGGGCCTTGTCCAACTGCAAACCCGTACGCTACGGACAGTGCTGGGTCTTTGCATCTGTCCTCTGCACCGGTACGGTATAAATTAGGACACTAGAGTTCTAAAATTGTGGCTGACAATCAAGTGTTATTTAGCCATCAACGACACCAAAGCGTTGCCTTACATGTCATTAAGTTTGGCCTATGATTAAGGAAGCTATCAAACTTGGCTTACAAGTATTATAAGCTAAATCCACCTGAACCTGTTTTAATCTATTATATTGATACAGTATTTGCATTGGCTTATTTTATTTAGTAGTTTTATCCCAATCCTTTGTTTCCTTTGTTCTTCTAGTAGTTTCTGAAAGGGCCAATCCTAGGATCATAAACCTAAATAAAGGGCTTTTCAACCTAAGCAAGCTGTTAGCCTGTTTCTAATACATCTTTCATAATGGCACAAACCTGCCGACTTTTAGGTAGGGTTTGCTGTCCCTGCTTTCATCATCATTGCTATGTTATTTGAATAAAAAAAGAATGTTTTGTCTTTACAGGCTTAACATATCAAGCCATAATTTTAATTTGTCATAACAGATCATTTCAAAATGTTGGTCCATCTAGTCATATAGTGTGACTGCTTTTTTGTGTTTTTTTCCAGTGATGAGAGTGCTGGGTGTTCCCTCCAGGGTGGTGACAGTTTTTAACGCTGCCCATGACGCTAACAGCAACCTGATAATTGAGGAAAATTTCTCAAGCAGCGGGGAAAAGCTCCCAGGACCAAAGGACAGCACGTGGTGGGTGTCTATTGCTCTCAAACAGTTGATCTTTTAGGATGATTAAACTATGCTTAGTCCAAACCTACTCTGGTACTCTATTACTCTAGTACACTATTTTTAATAGTAACATTAAACTTGAAGTAATTTCCATCTTAAATGATTTATATATACACAAAACATTTGCTTGTGCTTTGTATTGGTCGGGCGTAATATAATAGTTGAAATTATGTGTGAGGAAATCATTTGTAGGGCTGCACGGTTATGGCCAAAAGTTTGCTGTAAATCTCACGGTAAATAATTCGGTGATATTATGACCGATCATAACTCATCTTTATGCACACACATACATTTAGCATGGCTTAAGAAACGGGCTCTGTGTTACAAGACGGACACATTTTAGAGTCAACACATATAAATATAAATATAGTCTATGTTAAAGGTGGGGTAGGTAAGTTTCAGAAACCGGCTCGAGTGCACTAAAATTTGAAAGTACACAGCCGAAAAGAATCCGCCCCTTCCTTCAGACTTCCTTACAGAGCACCTCCTCCAACACACATGAACGCGCACATGACGTCAGCAGACTGGTGAAAGTGGCCGCCTGTTGCTGGCGAGTCATTGAAGTACTGCTGCAATGCACGCCCAATGACGGCACGCCCAATGAGGGCACGAGATACATTTGTGCGTGCACGAGATGGAAGGCTGACAGACAGGGCGGCAATCCAATCCGTTTAACGGATTGGTTGTACTTTTTACAGTATTACGGCTTCCACAGATGACATTTTTGTATGGATTTTTTGTCAAAGCACTTAAGATATTCATTGCTATCGGGATGTTAAGAGCATTCCATGGAATATAACAAAAAGTGTATCTCGAGCCGGTTTCTGAAACTTACCTACCCCACCTTTAAGAATGAGAAAAGTTTTAATATATCGTTTTTTGTAAACATGACACATTTTGAGTCTGACGACGTCAGACCATCGTCCTAATTCAAACCCTGCCTACATTCAATATTTTAACATATTTCAACATGCATAATTTTCATTACTTCCAAAAAAGCTAGAATATAAAATGAAAGAACAAAGAAAAGGATAGGATAAAAATGGTTATCATCCCCTACACAAGATCGATCAACCACACATGCATGTGTCTACTTGCAAAACAAACAACCCCCCTTAAAATTAAATAAAAACCCACACAAACACATTGATGTGAAAGACGAGCTAAAGATTATAATTTTTGTTTTTCCTTTTTTTTCCTTCCCTAACATAATGACATCATTATGTAACATTCACGCTTCTATTGGCTTGCAGCCCGCCACATTTTACGTGATAGGGGCTAAAGGGCGCGACATCACACCCGGCCAGCTAACCAATCAGGGCAGACTGGGCTCTGGTTTCAGACAGAGGGGGGAAAGAGGTGCAGCAGAACAGGCAGTATGAGAACAATAAAGAGCTTGTTGTACATTAAAGCATGGAGACATGTCACAGTAGAGACACAATATACAAATATGAAACCTGAAAATTAGCATAATAGAGCCTCTTTAATGTTAAGTAATATTACAGTTTTTGTGTGAAGGTGCTTCCTTATTTTCCCAGTTTTGCAGTATCAACTTTTTATATAATAATGACGAAAAAAAGTCAGTTGGCTATCTTATTTTCCCAGCATATTTGATTTTGCATTTTTGTTCATTTTTTTCAAAATGTGTGTGGTTAATTTACAGCATCCATTCGTGTTTGTCCTCTTGCAGGAACTTCCATGTGTGGGTAGAGTGCTGGATGAGGAGACCAGACCTCGGCTCAGCGTTTGATGGGTGGCAGGTAGTGGACGCCACCCCACAGGAGAAGAGTGGAGGTGGGTTCTCTGCTTCGATCGATTAATATCAAATTTGTTGACATAAGAGCTTCCTTTTTTGATTAAATGTCAAAGAAGGCGAAATACAATTGATAACTCATTTCAGAGGTAGTCAAATCCATGTTTAACTGTATTTTGATCTCCTGCGCTGTCGCAGAATCAAGACAGTGCGGAAAATTGTTATCCATCGTTCTAAAACAAGAGCTAAGCTAACATGCTAAGCTAAGTCGCTGTCTATGAATCTTTGCCTCAACATAGAGAGATCAATAACCATGTAGCACCATACTAGACTAATTCGATTTGTGATTTCTACATTATTGACACCCCTGGTGAGTTATTTGGGATTGTACTTAGCATACTGTAACTCAAACACCTTCCTCTGCAGGGATATACTGCTGTGGCCCTTGCCCAGTAATTGCCATCCATCAACGTTTCCTTAGAACCAGTTTCGACACCCGGTTTATCTACGCTGCTGTTGACGCTGACGTCGTACGGCTGATCATACACAATGGACGGGTGATGAAGAGGACGGTGGACACTAAGACGGTGGGACGGCTGATCTGCACCAAGAGCATTGGCTCAGACCTACTAGAAAACCTGACACAGGATTACAAGAGCAAGACAAGTAAGGCAAAAAACATTATTGTTTTTAAAGAAGCTATATTGTGTTAGAATGATTCAAATGCACTATTTAGAGAAAGTAGAAATAGGGTGGTTATCTTTGTTCTCTACATGTGTGGATAAAGTTTTTCTCCCCATGTTTTACCCTTTCAGAACCACAAGCAGCAGGTTATGGAAGATACTCAGGTTGGAGAGGTCAGTGGTTGAGATGAAGCAATTTTTTTACCCATTCTCAATGTGCTTTGAGGTTTTTAATCCCCATTTTCTGTCTTTTTCTCAGGTGGCCAGGATCGACCAATGAGCAGAGATGGTGAAAATGTCATCCAAATTATCTTTGGAGTTTCTGTTAGCCATACCACAAATGTTTCTCTGTTTCTTGTGTTCTGGTGAGGGCATACATTTGATACCATTGTTTTTTTATGACAAAATCCCTTTTTCGCAGTTCGCATGTCAGGTACACCTTTTCTGTCCAGTTCAGTGGGACATCAAGAAGGTAAGCTCTTATATTACAAATACTTTTACATTTACAAATTGCTGCTATACGACAATGTTTATTTTGGTGTTTGAAAATCAAAAGTACGCTCTGGTTCTATATGGGCCATTCTTCCGAATTGGACCAAATTCAGGTTGGAAATGTTTTGAAATGTTGTATGTTTTTTTCCCAAAACTTTGTCCATATATATTTTGTACCATATCTAAATACATATCTAGTAAAAGAACCGAACATTTTTATATCGTATTTTCAGACTGTATTGGAATGTTCTTCCTCTACCAAAAATGGTCACTACCGAAACATAGTAGGCCTACATACACACTGTAGTAAAAAAGTATTATATTAACCTGTTAAGATTGTTTTACCTTAGGGTACCCTTCTCTAAATAGTATTTTAATAAATATTTCTTGAGGGTTTTTATAATTCAATTAATACAAGTGAATTTTTAATCAAATTTCAAAGTTTAATTTATACAATGCATACAATTCATAATGCAAACTTTCTTTGTAAAATGCATAACACTGATCATATTGATTCCAGAGTTGATGATTGTTGAAATTGAACATACATTAAACCAATCAGTATCATATCATTTTAGTTGATAACTCAATATACTTAATTTTTTACAAAACATCCAGTGTTTCAGTAGTGACCACAGTATTTTGTTCTCAAGGTTGTATCATATTCCCTCAACCTTATTGCTTAATCTTAACTCATAACATGCCTTATGTTGAAGTGTGAATGTTTGAAGCTACTGACCCAGAATCAGCACTGTAACAGGCTGAAATAGAGGGGAATGAGGCTAGAATGCATGATCCAGTGTTTCCCATACATTGTTTTATTTGTGGCGGGCCTCGACAATTAAATCATTTTTTATTCTTTTTTATTTTGGTGGTCTCTAATGGATAGTGAGGTGGGCGGATGATCGGAATGTTGCGAGTTCAAATCCCGCCTGGAACACCACTACTAGTGTGCCCTTGAGTAAGGCACTTAGCCCTCAGTTACTCCAGGGAGAATGTCCCTGTAATTGGTCATTGTAAGTCGCTTTGGAATAAGGCGTCTGCTAAATGCCTAAATTGTAAATTGTAAATGATATATTTGGGAGAATAAACCCCACAGATCCTCAACTCCGGTGTGTCTCACTCATTAACAACGCAACACAGAGCAACAAGAACGTTGTCTACAGTAGCCATAACCTTGCTTGTATTTACTTATTTGGGGGGGGGGGTGGATGCGTGGGCCCGAATAGGTTAAGGGCCCTTTGGCTTTTTTCTTGCGGGGGGGGGTGCGGTTTGTATATTCCAATATATTCCAACTTCTGTTTGAATGTAATCATAAAGATCTTCTAAATACACCATTAAACAAAATTTATAAAAATGTTTTAAGTGTTATTTACAGAAATTGAAATTTAGATGTCAGGGTTGGGGACAGCTACTTCGCAATAGAAAGTACCCTATAAATGATGTTTTTGTATATATTAAGCTTATTACTATCTAATTTAATGCCTTGTGTTTAAATAGACCATAACATATTTTTTGTAAATATCTATGTCTGAATGCTTAATTGTTTTGTTAAATAGTTTTTCTTGTCGTGGAACCGTACTTTGTACTAATTTGATAGAATGCCCCATATACAATCTATGCTCTGGTCAGAGGTTTCTCTCCCCACTGGCACAATATCTACCAAAAGGGTTTCCGCTGGGTTATAAGCATGCTTTTGATACTGGTTTTTAAATGACAAAATCCCTTTCATTTTTACAGATGGGGGTATTTTGGAGTACAGCCAAATGTCAGATGGAGAAGGTAAGCTTTCATTCTAATCTAACGCCACAAGGTGTATTTAGGTGTTGCCACTTGCCACTGACAATAGTTTCATAGTCAGAGGGTCAGTTCCAACTGGCATCATCCCTACTAAAAATACCAACAAGTCCTCCAACTCATATGACCAAATAGGTCGATTGTTCAAGCCCTTATTACGACCAAATAGGTCGATTGTTCAAGCGCTTATTACGACCTATAATCACGTTTTAAAGTTTTCGACCTCTAGTGCTCCCGTTGAATGCAAATGCTACGGAGGGTCGTATATTCACAAATAACCCTCTCTGGAAAATCCATGCTGTCAGCATGCCAATTGCACGCTCCCTCAAAACTTGCGACATCTGTGGCATTGTGCTGTGTGATAAAACTGAACATTTTAGAGTGGCCTTTTATTGTGGCCAATAACCATCTAATTAGCATCTTGATATGCCACACCTGTGAGGTGGGATGGATTATCTCGGCAAAGGAGAAGTACTCAATATCACAGATTTGTTCAGATTTGTGAACAATATTTGAGAGAAATGGTTATTTTGTGTATATAGAAAATGTTTTAGATCTTTGAGTTCATCTCATGAAAAATGGGAGCAAAAACAAAAGTGTTGCATTTATATTTTTGTTCAGTGTATATATATATATACATTATCAGCTATAATATTTCACATACTACAATATGTGAAATATTATAGCAATATCCTGTACAATTATGTGAAAACATGAATAAAACTACATGAACATGAATTATTCATCTTCAGATGTTATACATACATAAGTGTCCTACACTAATACAAAGTTATTATGGCATTGTATGCTGTGTGTTATTTGTAACATCTTCAGAAACTACCTTTTCCAACTCCTCATGCAGTTGACTGTTCCAGGTCTACACCGTATACAGGTTCATGGTACAATGCATAAGCTTCAAATCGAGAGACTGAAACTGTATTTTTCTTTATCGTTCTGTTTTAATTTCACCATAAAGTTAATAGTAATATTATGTTTGATATTATTATGTTTTATTAACTAGACCACTGGTTTTTTAACCCGCACCGCTTAGTGGTTAAAGCACGTTATTGCATTTTTTTTTTTAATATGTTAAATTTGATGAAAACATTTAAATATTAAGAGTAGCCTACATACACAATAGGGGGAAAGTAGAAGGTCAATGATAGAAATATAGAATAGAAAATATCAAGAAGATACTGAGTGATCTCTACAATAAATACGAATAATACCTATTCGAGTCCAGTTTTGGATAGTCTGCCGTGGTTACATTCCATTTCAAAGAGCTGTTTGACGCTCGACGTAACTTTGTCGCACTGCCACTCCAACATCCAATCACAGAGCTTGAGGACTAATCACGGGGGTTTGTAAAGGAAAGCGGATGTTGTAGTCCCAAACGATAGCTGAGGATTCTGGGTAGTGTAGTGTCTTCGGAAACTCTGTAGTGTGTAAACTCCAGAAAATCTATTTGTTTCTCCGAATCGAAGGTTAAAAACACAAAAGCATTGTACACAATTTACACCAATCAATATTGTGTAATTAATTAACAAAGATAAACTGATGTTTTTTAGTGGATGAGTAATGCAGATATCTCTGTGTAATCATTTGACAGTGAGGGGAATACTTCTGGTTTTATTATGAAAACTTTGAGACCGGAAATACTGTTTTCACCCCGTGAGGGTTGACGCCAACTTCACATGGATGCTGCGCAGGGCCGGTCCTTGACATTTTAGTGCCCCCCCCCCTCCAAGCAATACAGAATAGAATTTATAAAGAATAAATGAAAGATCTCTACAAAAGACCAATACACTACAAAAACTGAAACGTATTGACATGTTGGTTATATACATAAAGGTTTCAAATGTATTAATTATTGTATGAACATGTTTTAATTGGGGGGTAGACGTCACATCCTCTAGGGGGGTCCGGGGGTATGTCCCCCCTTTTTTTTTAACATTGTAAAGTAAAATGCTTCAATCTGTTGCACTTTGAGCAGAATTACTAGAGACTAGATAGAGGGTACAACTCTAAACACGGTTTACATTTTAATAACCAAATAAGTATGTGAACATAACCATTAACCTACCATAGCCAATAACAAATTAATGTAACGTATTTTATTTTTGTTGTTCATTTATATCTTATTTTAAGACATTTATTTATGCATATTTTTTTATCTCTCCAGTTTTAAACGATATTTTTGGTTTACTGTCCTATAGTATACATTGAAATGATTTAAAACCTGTTTTTATTTATCCTAATAATTATAAAAGTGTGCCTCGGAAATACTTGTTTATTGTGACCAAACCGTTTGAGACCCACTGAGATAACTTAGACTAAAGTGAACTATCTAAACACTCAGAGTCCTTTACTTCACTGAGCTGTAGTTATCAGCCTCAATTCAACAACAATCCGCGGTACAGATCCATCAAATATGGGGAGAATTCTTGGAGTTTCTGGAAATAAATATGCCTCCTAATTGACCTTGTCCTCTATAATGGTTGGATGTGATATGGCTGCTTGTCTACCGGCCTTGTAACTTGCAATGTTTAAATTACAATTTAATTATGTCCACTTGCGTGTATGCATGCATATGTATATATATATATATATATATATATATATATATATATATATATATATATATATATATATATATATATACATAACAGATAAAAAAGTTCAGATTCATTTTACAATAAATCAAGGAGTGATGCACTTCTACAAACAAAAACAACATAATTAAAACATTTAAACAAACTACTAAAAGTAGATGAACTACATTATTCAAAAGTGTACAGTAACTTCTGATAATAACCTGATAATAACACATGAGAAATAAACGAGGCATCTCTCTCTCTCTCTCTCTCTCTCTCTCTCTCTCTCTCTCTCTCTCTCTCTCTCTCTCTCTCTCTCTCTCTCTGTCTCTGTCTCTGTCTCTGTCTCTGTCTCTGTCTCTCGCTCGCTTGGAGGCTCGCTCGCACTTTGGCTGTGAGCTGCGGGCGCCTGATAAGTCAACATCCCCCACTTACAGCGCCCATCGTACAAGGCAAAGGTAAAGTGTAACTGGGGTGAAAAGGGTGTTACCTTGACTTAATTATGAATGTTGTTACATCAAGGCTGAAAATTAGGATGAGCCAAACAGTCAAAAATGTTTTTTTCCCTCCCAGAACTATCAGCGCAGTGCCCCCGCCCCCCCCCCCCCGCCCTGGGCGACCGCCTATGTCGCCAGTGCTACGGGCCGGCCCTGATGCTGCGTAAAGACGTAGTACACGTTCTCCTGGCAAGACCTCAAATCATCTTCGAAATATCTATCAAACTATAGATCCTACACATCCACTGGACGTAGATTCTAAAAGGACAATCTACACTTCTCGCTAGAAATCTAATCAAAAAGCATTTTAATGGCCAAACTATCCCACAATTTAGGATTTTCCAGAGAGGGTTATTTGTGAATAAACGACCCTCCGGAGCGTTTGCAATCAACGGGAGCATGTTGTTTCTTACACGACCACTAGAGGTGCGACACTTTAAAACGTGACTATGGGTCGTAATAAGCTGCTGACCAATCAACCTATTTGGTCGTTTTTCGTAGGTCCTACAGGACAGGCTGAAAAATACAAGTAGAACAATTGTGGTTTTACCAGCTGGTAGTAGCTGTTCTTCATTTGCATGTGTTTTCACACATTTGTGTTTTTATATTTGCCTCGTTTTTGAAAGTGCAGAACGTTTTCCTAATTGAAGTGTTTTGGGCCATTGTGGCGTGTTTGCCAACATAGAAACAAACCAGTATTACGGTTCAAGCACATTTGAGTCTCAGTTCAAGCAGGAGGCTTTGGTTTTAACCATAGACTGTATATATAAATGGACGTAGGGTCCGTGACGTCACCCATAGGATTCTGCAGAGTTGCCGAGAAGCCCTTAGTAGGCGGAGTCGGCCACTAACGGCTCGATAGTGACGTCAGAGTTCAACTCCCGCCTACTCCAGCCTGCTCCAAATAAGGGCAAAGAGGCGGAGCCGAGGCGGGATCTGCTGCCACTGAGCTGGAAGTTCCAGAGCTAGCTGAAGCTACCAAGCTAAGCTAACATGCTCCCCATCTGCACACTGCCTTGGCATTTTACGTTTCTAAGGTAAGCGGACATGAAACTATTCAGCAAAACTATAAATAATAATCTAAGTTATTGAGTTTTTAGCATAATACTTCAGAATCTTAAAATCCCTTAACGTTTGTATGCAATTGTGCTAAATTCAACACTGGAATCAAGCAAATATTAATGTTTGCATGACATTAGTTATTTATATTTTGATATCACTAAACTATATGTTTAATACATTTAAGTTAAGCTAAGGTACATGTGATGGTAGCTAGTTAGTGCTCTTACCTGTGAGGCCTCCTCCAAACAGCATAATAACCAGACTATATCATTAAAACTAAGTACCAGTTCTAGATCCTTGACTTTAGACAAACAATTCAAAAGACAAAATGTATTTAAAGACCAATCTTTATTTGAATGTGCCTCTTAACCTGAGATATTAGTTATACAGTAATAGTATTGACAATCTAAAAAAACTGAGCAACTCAACAGTCAACTTTATATTTCTTATTGTCTAAAGCATTTATTATTTTCATTTTCCCCCTCTCATATTCAGTGTGGACGGATTGAGACAGCGTGGTGTCCAGAGAGTTGCAGAGACTTTAGGGAGAAACCTCCGTGTGATGGACGTCCTGTCTGTTGGTTTGGAGAGGACTGAGGGTCTTTCCTCAGCGAGGAGGACCAGGCCTGATGGAGGAGCCCATGCTGGGCATAGCTGATACCAACTGCACAGGCCTAGTCTGTCACTTTATCTGACTAAATGTGTTTAATACATTTAATAGGTTTACACCTTCTGTCCATATGTGCTTTTTATTTAAAACATTTGATTACGTTTTGGTTCACATTTCAATAAATTGTATTTGTATTTGCACTCCTTTTGTCCATTATTCTTA